TCGGGTTTTCGACTTGTCGGGTGTACAATATTTTGCATATATCCCAAACTTTTTCCTGAACCTTTTTGGTTCACCGGGATGCCCTTATTTTTTTCTTGGTATGTCAACCTAGCGGGTAATTCTTTATGCGTAGTATTTTTTGACTATGTTTACGTTCACAGGATGTAGGAAGTATTCGTCGTCCATAGTAGTTAGCATCATGGAACCACTAGAGAAAATTTTCTTAACCACAAATAGCCCTTCGTATGTGGGAGTCCATTAGCCCCTAAGATCACCACGTGGAATAATGATGTGCTTTATTACCAACTCGCCATCTTGATACACACGAGGCTTGATCTTCTTATTGAAAGCCTTGATCATTCGATTTTGATACATTTGACCATGACAAATAGCAGCCAGCCTCTTCTCATCAATTAAGTTCAACTGATCTAACCTAGTTTGAATCTATTCATCTTCGCCTAGATTTTCCTCTTTCATAATCCTTAGGGAAGGAATCTGAACTTTGACAGGCTGGACAACTTCCATGCCGTAGACCAAAGAAAAAAGAGTTGCCCTAGTTAACGTTCGAGCTGAAGTACGGTAGCCATGAAGAGAAAACAGTAGCATATCATGCCATTCTTTGTAGGTTAATACCATATTTTGCAAAATCTTCTTGATATTTTTATTGGCAGCTTCCACTGCGCCATTCATCTTAGGTATGTACGGATAAGAATTATGATGTTTGATTTTGAACTGCGTGCAGAGTTCCGTAATTATAGCATTGTTAAGATTGGTTCCGTTGTCGATGATGATCCTTTTAGGGATACCATAACGGCATATGAGGTTATGCTTGATAAATAGGGCTACAACGTTCTTTGTGACTGAGGCATATGAGGCAGCTTCGATCCATTTGGTGAAATAGTCAATGGCAACGAGGATGAAACAATTCCCATTGGAAGCAGTAGACTTGATCTCTCCAATCATGTCAATGCCCCACATTGCAAACGGCCACAAAGCAGTCATGACATTAAGAGGTATCGGAGGAACGTGAACTTTGTCGGCATAGATCTGACACTTATGGCAAGTCCTCGAGTGATGGTGACAATCAGTTTCCATTGTCGACCAATAGTAACCAGCCCTTAGAATCTTCTTGGCCATAGTGTGTCCACTAGAGTGAGTCCCAAAGATACCATCATGCATGTCTTGCATGATTTTTTCTGCCTCCATCTTGTCCACACAACGGAGTAAAGTAGAATCATGGTTGCGTTTGTACAGGGTTCCATTGCTTAGGAAGAATTTGGCTGGAAATCTTAGCAAAAATTTCTTTTTATTGACGGAAGCTCCTCCAGGATACTCTTGTGCTTCAAGATATCTCTTCACCTCATGGTACCATGGCTTCTCTTCGTCGGGGTTAAGCTCATAACAATGCGCATGTTTGTCAAATCTTTCTATTGTAATTCTAGGAGCTTCACTATCCCAATTGATCTTGAACATGGATGACATTATTGCCAAGGCATCAACCAACTGATTTTCTTCTCTAGGGAAGTGTTCAAAGGTGACCTCCTCAAAGTATGGAATTATGGTTAACATAAGCTCTTTGTAAGGGACCAGATTAGAATGTTTGGTATCCCATTCTCCCTTAACTTGACTGATTACTAGAGCAGAATCTCCGTATACATCCAAGAACTTGATCCTTAGGTCAATGGCAGCCTTTAGACCCAAGATGCACGCCTCGTACTCAACCATGTTATTCGTATATTCGATGCATAATATAGCAGTGAAAGGTGTATGGAAACCTTCAAGAGAAATAACCACAGCACCAATTCCATTACCCAACGCGTTGGAAGCCCCATTCAAAACCATAGTCCATCGGGATCCTTGTTCAGGTCCGTCATACAGCCCAGGCTTTTCGCAGTTAGTTACTAGCATGATATTCTCATTCGGGAGTTCAAAGTTCATAGATCATTAGTCGTCAACAGCTTGATGTGCCAAATGATCTGCCAATACACTTCCTTTGATTGCCTTTTGTGTAGTGTATTGGATATCATATTCGGTCATAATCATTTTCCATCTATCTATTCGTCTGAAGAGAGCTAGCTTCTTGAAAATATACATGATAGGGTCCATTTTATAAATCAATAAAGTGGTGTGAGTCAACATATACTGTCTTAGTCGGAGAGCAGCCCATGCTAGAGCGCAACAAGTTTTCTCGAGTAGTGAATATCTGGTTTCACAGTCGGTAAACTTTTTTCTCAGGTAGTAAATTGCATGCTCTTTTTGGCCAGACTCGTCATGTTTGCCCAACACACACCCCATTGAATTCTCTAATACAGTCAAGTACATAATCAGAGGTCTTCCTTCAACTGGAGGCATCAGGATTAGAGGCTCTTGCAAGTATTCCTTGATCTTGTCAAAGGTTGCTTGGCAGTCGTCGTTCCATCTGACTACTTGATCTTTCTTCAAGAGTTTGAAGATTGGCTCATAAGTAGTAGTTAGGTGTGATATGAATCGAGAAATGTAGTTAAGTCGACCCAAGAAACCTCTGACCTCCTTCTCGGTACGGGGAGCTGACAAACCCTAGGAGTTTTCCAGACCTTACCCCAAAGGTACATTTGTTGGGATTCAGCCTCAACTTGTATTTCTTCAACCTCTCAAATAACTTATGAAGATGATCAAGGTGTTGTTCCTCAGTTTGTGACCTTGCAATCATATCATCAACGTAGAATTCTATCTCATGATGGATCATGTCATGGAATAGGGCTACCATAGCTCGTTGATAGGTTGCCCCTGCATTTTAAAACCGAAATGCATGACCTTGTAACAAAAAGTACCCCACTGTGTGACAAAGGTGGTCTTCTCCATGTCCTTGGGAGCCATTTTGATTTGGTTATAACCGGAGAATCCATCCATGAAAGAGAAGACTTTATGTTAAGCTGTTTTGTCGACCAAGACGTCAATATGAGGTAGCGGGAAATCATCTTTGGGGCTTGCCCTATTCAAATCCCTGTAATCTACACACATAAGTACTTTTCCATCTTTCTTAGACACGGGGACCACACTCGCAACCCATTGAGGATATGATGTCACAGCCAGGAAACCTGCATTGAATTTCTTCATTACCTCAACTTTTATCTTTTCAGACATATCTGGCCGCATACGACACACTTTTTGCTTGACTGGAGGGCAATCCTCTTTTGTTGGTAGACGATGAACCACAATGGTAGTATCCAACCCCGATATATCTTCATATTACCAAGAAAACACCTCAACATAGTCGTGTAACATCTGTACCAATTTACCTTTGACACCGCCTTCCAAGTTGGCGCCGATCTTGACCTCTTTCTTGTCTTCCTCAGTACCTAGGTTGATCACTTCAACTGGCTCTTTATGAGGATGAATGGCCTTCTCCTCTTGCATCAGAAGTCTTGCTAATTCCCCAAGTATTTCATAATCTTCTTCACCTTCAACTTTGACTTAGTAGATTGGATGTTGTTGTACCCCAAAATTTGCCCTCCCATATTCTTCAAGATTTGCAAAGAGCATGCTTCAAAATCTCTCAAGGGTTGCATAGTTCAAGGGCCTCCTAACAGTCAAAAACTAGGGTTTTGGTTCTGGCAAAGTAATTGAAGTTTCCAAGGGTCCAATCAAGTCCTACATGCCTATAAACATGGTCAAGCATCCTCATACCAAGTTTCAAGACTTACAGCACAAAATTGCACAGTCAAAAACCCTAATTGCTCAACAGTCAACTGCAGGGGCAAAATGGTCATTTGACAGTCAAAAGTTCAAATTTTTGGTCAACATCTCATTTTGAAGCCACAAACATCATTTGATCAATTCTTGATCATGATTTTCAAGGCATGGCTCAAAAAGTCTTAAGATGCAAAAGTTTCCATATTTGGACAGTTGAAAAAGTCAACTGTAACTTGACCAAGGCATAACTTCCACATGGTTTATCAGAAAAATTCCATCCAAATCTCATTTTGAAGAGAATGACATTTCCTACAACTCCTCTTCACACTTCAAGTCCAATAAATTCTCTCACAAAAAGTTATCAATTTCAACATTATAGGTCATTTTCAAAAGTCAACAAAAAGGCATTTTAAGTCAAAGACCATAACTTGAGATTGGTAAATCAAAATGACATGGGACCAAAGGCATTGGTTATAGGACTTCAAGACCTTTCTAAAATGTCCAAGAACATGATCAAATCTTAAAAATTGAGCAAGATATGCCTTGTGGAAATTGGTAAAGTTTTGGGAATTTTGAAATGTCAACTTTGCTTCAAATGCCTCAAAATTGCTAATGGGCCACAAATTCTTCCAAGAATCATCATCCAAAAGCTATGCACGACCCATTGACCCAAAGGGGAGTTATTTTCTTATTTTTAATTAATTAATTGAGTTTATTATCCCATTAATTCATTTAATTAAAATTAAATGTAAGAAAAATGCTAAAATATGTTTTCCAAATCTTTTTATGCAGCATATTCACTCAATATTTCGTGCACTATTCAAAAAGGAAAATTCAATGTGATTGGCAATGATTGGCATAAAAAAGACATGAAAAAGATTGAAAAAGATTACATGGAAAGTCAAGGATCCAAATCATCAATGCAAAGGTTTTGGGCCAGTTTTTTAACCTAAATTATTCCTCATACACATAAAAAGAAACCCTAAGGCACAAAAGCCCTCCCCACGAAAATAATTCCATACATTTACTAGCCATTGTAACCCTTCTCCCAAAAAACCATTATTCCACACAGTCAAACTTTCATTCACAATTCTAAACAAAAAAAGAGAGAGTCAAACCAATATTTCTCTTATAGTTCTTTGATCACGTGAGAAAAAAAAAAGAACCACTATCAAAGCTTCATGTTCAAACCCAAAACCATCAACCTCCATAGTCTTTTCCCAAAGCTTCCTTACACCATAACAAACCTTACTAACACCATTCAAACCATAATCTTACAGGCTTTCAAACCAATCTCATGAATCAAACTCAAACACAATATCCAACCTTCAAATACCAATCAAATTCATTATAACCTTTTCATCGTCATCTACCATAACTTGTAACCAAGCCATCAAAAATTCAATAACATCATAGTCATCACTGTAACAACAAAGCCAAATCAAAAGAAAAAGAAGAAAGAAAATAGAGCAGATCAAACAAACGGCCATGGCATTGTTGCAACTCAGAGACGACGACACACACACGCTCAACACCATGCCGAGCACCTAGCAACAACTCCGACTGTCAGCATCAGACCCCGAGCAACTCATCTCCGGCAAGGAAGATGCTGCTAACAATTTCGCCAGGGGACATTACACTGTGATTCCTCTGTCGGAGTGGCGCACGATGCATTCAACACTTTCTTCAGCGAAACCGGTTCCGGCAAGCACGTTCCTCGTGCCGTTTTTGTAGATCTAGAACCTACCGTCATCGATGAGGTCAGGTCTGGTACCTACCGACAACTCTCCACCGCCGAAGAAGCTATTGTCCGGTTCAGACCTCCACCGATCCCGTCGAAGGCCACCATCGACCACTGCCATTACTGCCTGTAAATCCAGCTGACAATGCCTTAACCTTTCCGTTCACCATGAGACCCCAATCTCGTCGTCGTATGCTACGACCCAGCACGTCCATATAGACACCACACCGCTCTTAGACTCCAGAAGCCCGTCGATTCTGTCGAAGGCAAGAAGGAGGCAGGTTCACCTTTTACTTATTTTCTTTGGTATAGAATTATTTGGAAAAAGATGAAATTGAGGAAGAGATGATGTGAACATTGAGAGAGAAAGGTCAACTTTTGAAGAGGACAAAAGAGGTAAAACTGATATCCTCTCCCTCTCTGTACGTGTTTTACTGTTGTTTTGTTTTGGTTTATCATCTGCCAAGTGTCATGGCGAGAGTGGGTCGCTGCTAGATATACTTGAAGGATCAAATGGGGTAACGCCCCTTCTTGCAAGTAGGCCATTTCTTTATTATGATTTTTTTTTCTCATTTCATAAAAACAATAAAAAATATGCTTTGTTAATATTAATTAATATTATTTTGTAAATAAATTCTAAAAAACTAATTAGTTTAATTTTAAGTTTAATTTTAATATTTTTTGAATAAACTAAAAAAGGTAGAAATTAGGGTTTTTACACTTTTGTTTTTTTTTCCTTTTTTCACCATATTTAATTTATTAACTATTTTTTGTAAATAAATTTATAATTAGGTTAAAATTAAGTCAAGATCAAACATTTTGTATATAAAATAAAAATAACTAGAATTAGGGTTTTGTTTAATTTTTATTTTTAATCCATTTTTCTCTATTATTATTAAATACGAAAAACTCCAAATAAATTCTTTCTTTTATTTAAATTGAATTAATTTATTAATTGTAATGTAATTTCTTAAAAGGGTCCCACGCCCTCGCGCTCTCGATTTTATTTCTCTTAGCATTTACTTTTATTTCTTTTTTATGAACATAATGTATTTATCCTGAAGCCATGTAATAGTTTGATTAGGACATTTATCTTTCCGCATTTTATTTTTCAAATCGGGTCTTGGATTAATTTGGCGATGTAGACCGCGCCTTTGTAATAGCATAGGACTTTTTAATTCCGCATCTTTTAACTGTTAATAATTTGCATGAAAGAATGAATGCCAAAATAAAAGCAACGCGTAGATCACCAATGCATGAACAAGATAAACATAAATGAAAACAACACACGAATCACACACCACCCCTAGGGTACGCCTCATTGTTGCCTTGCCCCTCGAAAGGTGATCGTCGAGTAGAGGACGTCTTAGTAAGTCCTCATGATCCAGGAACCTGGCATGAGGGTAGCTTCTAAGGTGTCTTCCTATTGCTCCGGTGATCACCATGTCCCGAACCCTCGAATTGACCCGAACACCTCCAACGGTGGTGCTACCTACCTCTCAATGGTGGGATGGCACTACTTCAAGGACATTTACACAGACAAATTCCTTAGGGTAGGTAGACGACTCTAGATACTTGCTCTAATTTCAAAAACAAATTCAAAAATACTTTTCACACCGACACCTTTTCAAAAAGCTTTCGAAAGCAATTTTTCAAACACTCTTGAGGACCGATACAAGAGTCGAACTAAAATTTTCAAAGAAACTTTTTAAAACCCACAGTTGAAAAGCAAACAAACCTTTTGAAAACACAAATGAGCAAGTGTCTAAGAGCCCATGGATAACCATGAATAGAAAGGGTGCTAACACCTTCCCTTTCTATAATCTACCTCCCGAACCGAGAGCAATCTCTATAAGGAATTTTTCTGTGCTTTTGTCCTTTCCCTTTGGAGAAAATAAAAGACGGTGGCGACTCTTGCTTCCGCGAAATTTCGCGAACCAGCGTTAAACAGTCAGTTCTAGATCTACCGATCACAGAAATGGCGACTCTGCTGTGGAAAATTTTTAAAGTGGGGTGTACCTTAGGACTAAGATCACTGTTTTTTCAATTACTTTCTTTGCTTGCTTTAAATTATGGGACTGTCTTGGGAGTTCTATAGATCCTAACCCGGATCTGGGGATACCTTCTTAGAAAGTAGCAACAAGGCTGTGAGGGAACTGTGCGGGGTATACCGACATGGTTGAAACAGTCTGCTACGTTGATGTGGCACTTTGGTGTGTACCGGTAACCCTTGAGTTCAGTCAAGGAGAGTACGGGGCCTCCGCGTGGTGTCGTGAAGCATCAACACACCTTAGGAACCTTAATGGAACTATCTTGGCCTCTTTAGGGTAGTGAGATAACTGACTTTGGTGCAGTCCGAGGTTGGTTGATACTTGATACTACACTCAATTGAGGGTTGCTTTCCTGGAATATTTCGGTCGCCAGTTCAGTGGCTAAATCGAAACGATGAATAATGAAAGCAATCCCGTGATATTGGGACCCTTAGAACCCGGTTACTTCTAATAGGACAGGTTGAGCCCACCAACTTCAAGAGGGTAACACCCAAACCCCATGCTGGCCTTAAACTCTAAGGGCTTGTCTTGTGTGACTTGTGTGCCTTACATGTTTGCCTTTGTAAATATCTGTGGTGTGTTAACCATAGCATCATGACATCATCCAGCATCATATGCATTGACTAACCATTTCAGGGGTTCGAATCTTCATCTTTGTTCTTGTTTTGTAGGACATGGAAACTGTTCGCAGAAAGACAATTCAAATCAGCCTTGTAAGGATCCCTCCTCAGCTTAAGGAACTTATATCCAGGATTCCCGAGAGCTCTTCATTCAGTGAGAGACATGGAAGACTCATCAGCTTGGTCAATACCAACATTGAGGAAGATATGATAAAGGTCCTGTTCCAGTTCTTTGACCCTCTGCATCACTGTTTCACCTTCTTGGATTATCAGCTGGTACCTACATTGGAGGAGTTCTCCCGGCTTCTGAAGATCCCTATCCTTGATCAACTACCCTACAACGGTACAGAAAAGGAACCCAAGCTTGAAGAGATTGCTAAAGCCTTGCACCCACAATCATCTGACCTCAAGGGACATTGGGAAGTTAGAAGTGGTATCAAAGGGTTCTTACCCAGGTTTCTGTTTGAAAAGGCCCATGAATGTTGGAACTCCCTTGACTTACGAGCTTTTGAAGAAGTTGTGGCCCTCCTTGTCTATGGTTTGGTGTTGTTCCCTAACCCAGATCAGCTTATAGATATCAGTGCTGTCCAGATCTTCATGTCCAGGAATCCTATACCTACGTTGCTGGGGGACATCCTTCACTCATGTTACACTCGAACCATGAGAAAAAGAGGTGTTCTTATGTGCTGCACTCCTCTCCTGGGAAGGTGGTTTATTTCTCACCTTCCACAATCAGTTTTGAAGAACGAGCGGGGTTTGAGATGGTCACAACGGTTGATGACTCTTACACATGCAGACATACATTGGTGCCCTCGGTCCAGAGAGGATGTCACTATCATTGATCGTTGCGGGGAGTACCCTAATGTTCCTTTACTTGGAATCAGAGGAGGTATTACTTACAACCCGTGCCTGGCTTGGAGACAATTTGGTTATGCTCGAAGGGATGGCCCTCATGACATGTTAATTCCTGACATAGTTTTTGACTTCGACAACGATGCACAGGGACTTCGCCAGAGATTTATCAGAGCTTGGAGGATGCCCAGTAGGATAGACAGCAAGACATTGGGGCACAGGAATTCCATCCCATTGGAACCTTATCTCAAGTGGGTACGGGCCCGCTCCCAGAAGTTAGTAATGCCTTATCCTCATATGCTCCCAGTAATCAAAGAGCCAGTCTCGGAAGGAGAGGTGTCCCACACCATTCAGCATCCTGACATGTCCACGTCCTGGGAAGAGATGCAGAAGAGCTGGATCCAGCTTAAGGAAGAACGGAGTTCTCTTGAGACCAGTCTACATGCTAGTGAAAAGAAGGTCCTGGAGCTCACCCGCCTATTGCATGAGGACAGGAATCTCAACACCTACATAGCTCCAAAGAGGATGCGTAGTGTCTTTTGGGATTGATTTGCTTTGTAATTTGTGCCCATGAGGCTTTGATGTACTGAACAATTATTTCCTTAATGATAACGTGTGTTCCCTTTTGTCTACAACAAATTTGAACTTTCGAGCCCTTGAATGCATTGCATAAACACATATCATTCATCATGTGCATAGCAGGTTTTCTTCTTTTCAGGTTGCTTACTGTTCTTCGCTGTTTATTTCAGCATCATGAATCCTGACTCATCATCAACCGAGATGTCTATCAAGGCTCTTCAGGCGCAGAATGCGCAATTTCAGGAACTAATCATGGGTTTGGCTCAGGGCCAAGAAGAGCTGAAGGCTCTGCTCCCGAAGAAGGAGAAGAAGAAGAAGAAGAGAACTGTTCTTTTCAACTCGGGCCGAAGGTTTGGCAACACTCTGCAGAATGAAGAGGCTGGTTCTTCTATAGGCAAGAGCAGTCCCCAAGGGGGAAAAGGTCCTAGTCCGGTAGTCTCTGACAACGAGACTGATTTCGATGAGGAACAATATCCTCCTGCTGAAGACCAGTATAAGCAGTTGGAAGACAGACTGAATGCTATGGAGATCCAACAAGTGCCTGGGCCAGATTTTGGAGATTTGGGCTTATCTACTGGTGTGATCATTCCTCATAAGTTCAAAGCACCATCTTTTACCAAGTATGACGGGGCGTCTTGTCCCAAGCTACATCTCAGATCCTACGTGCGGAAGATTCAACCGTACTCAGTGGATAAGAACTTATGGATCCACTTCTTCCAGGAGAGTCTTTCAGGGACTCATCTCGAATGGTTCTATCAGCTGGATGGGACCAAGGTTCGTAACTGGGAGGAGTTGGCTACTGCTTTTTATAAGCAGTATCAATATAATGCCGACCTTGCTCCTACGCGTACCCAACTCCAGGGTATGTCGCTAGGGTCAAGCGAAGGTTTTAAAGAGTACGCACAGAAGTGGAGGGATCTGGCTGGCAGGGTGCAGCCTCCGTTAACTGACCGGGAGTTGGTAGACATGTTCTTGGGGACCCTATCTGGGCCATTTTTCAACCATCTTATCGGTAACTCGTCTGCAGGGTTTCCTGATCTTATCCTGACTGGAGAGAGAATAGAGGCTGGAATGAAGTCTGGCAAAATTCAGAAGGGTGCATCTGCAAGTTCT